TGAACATTGTCTCTCTACCTTTGTGCGGAAAACCGTCAGTGGTATGCGTTGTCACCGAGTCCCTTTTCAGGTTTCACAGACGCCGTGTTGCTTTTGGGGAGGGCATCATGACCACCCTCCTCAACTATGAAAACCGGTACCACCGACGGGATCTCGCTCTACCCACTTCTATGCGGGTCCGCATCCATGCGCAAAACTTCCTACTCAACCATGTCGCTTACCAAAACCGCTAGTCGCAAAGGTCGTGAGTCCCCGTGGGGTAAAAAAATTACGAAATTTGCGGGTGAAAGCGAAATAAAGCTAATAAAGCTCTCGTGAGTACCAAACCTCGACGTTAGCACCGTTGACGAGGGAAAGGGACGGCTGCACCCTTCTCGCGATAAAAATAAAATTCAGCACGCACCGCAGCAGGAAGGTGGGGCATGAAAAGAAATAAAATGAAGAAAAAAGCCCTGGTGTTCACCCCCTCCTGTGTGATCCTGTATGGTTGTAGTTGTACGAAAAGTGTAGTACTCCTCACCGCGAAATGGGGGGGACTGTCGCTATAACAAATACAAGTAAAACGAAAACACACACCAAGTCTAGGTGAGCCCCTCGACCAAAGCTAATGAAAATTCTACCTAGTAAGTTCTACCGCATGATTGCTCGGAGCGCTTTCATTCCAATTACAGTACCAGTGGGCACTGTATAGTGCCGGTATGTGTCTGGAGATTTTGTGGGCACTATTTAAAGTACAGAATGACTTGGTGCTTCAGTTTGCGAGCCGAAAACATGCACTGTACCGGGCAAACGGCACCATCAGGACCCCCTACTACAGCAGTACCAACCACGTTTCTCATATTCAAAGCATGGTTACACGAAGACTTTTGGCTCTCAGCATGTTGATGTAATATGTCGCAGTTTGAAGTGAAATGAAAGCGCACAGCAGTGAGTGCACACAACAAACAGGAAAGGATTTGTTCAACTGACCTCAAGGTGAACATTGAAGGCAAGCCCGGCAGGAGGCACTGTGGAACTCCTCCTGTGTGACTCCGGCTTGTGCGACAATTATATCATGGATGTGATTTGCCGCCAAGAAAAAGTTTCTGCACGCGAACTACAGTACCAAGCAACCTTTTTTGGAACCATTGGCGAGTCCCACGAAAAGGTGAAACCAACTCGTTAAACTGTTTGTGTGCACCGTGTAGTTTGGAGCCAAGCCCGTAACATCCTTTTGCAAGGAGACAGTCAGCGAGCCTCTGAACCGAGAGCCTTAGGCAGACCAACTAAATCACATCCAGGCGTGGATACGTATTGCAAGCAGATTCAGGAATCTCGGCTCTACTCGACACCGCCCACAAGTAGCGAATGCAAGGTATGCTACATAGTCAGGTTCTGCTCCACTATTGCCCATTTGGGGGAAACTTCCACGGATGCAATGGAAGCCTCCGCGAAACCTTGTGGAAGCAACGGAAGCTTTCATCACTGCCACGGAGCTTGCGTGGAAGAAGTACGTCCACGCGAAAATCTTTCTCTACCTCGATTTCCGCGAACTCTCGTAGCATCGACGAAATCTTCCATAACTCCAACATGCGGCAATTACGAAGAGGTTACCAGTGGTAGTGCCGCCCAACTTCCACTACAATCTAGCTACTTCCATGGAAGGTGGAAATCATTGGACATTCATTCGTGTTGCACCTAGTAGTTTTGGTTTTAGGTACATCCAAACTTCTTGTACGAGCTTCCATGATACATTGGATGTTTTGGTCCGCGCAACCTCCATGGAACCTCCAATTCTTTTCAAGAGTAGGTTAATCGATGGCTTCCGCCACGTCCATTCACGCGTTTTTGGAATCTACAGCGTCTGTGGAAGGCGTGATGGAAGCTTCCATGGAAGTCGTCAAAGCCTCCACTGTTCCAGTCCAAACTTATGGAGTCACTACCATTGAGCTCCCATCCATTTCTTCGGGTGGAAGCTGTTGGTACTTCCATTTTGTGGACTTCTATCCCACTTGCATTAGCGTAAGTTTCTAAATATCACTTCCATTGAAGCTTGACCAGCAATCGGGATCTTCCAAACCGAAAGCGAGTGATTGAAACTCTATATCGGGTCCAACGGTGAGTGTGCGCGAAAGCATTTTCAATAGACTACACGTTGCCCAATACTAGAAACTCTCCGTCGGGAGGAAACATAGACAGAGATCCCCAGGTTTTATGCTGACGCTTGCTCGTCCAAGTGGGGACATGATCGGGAGATCCCTGGGTTATATGTTGAAGCCCTTTCAATGCGTGAGGCGGTTGCTTCGCTGTGTGTGTCATGTATATGAGTCTCGAGACTGCAGAGAGGTGGCTGACACCCCGCGCGACGCCCAGGCTATTTTTCGGAAGGTTATCATGCATACAGCCCCGACGAACCTGTTGAATCAGCCTCCAGCACGCCTGCCTGTCGCCCTGGGCGGGGGGCGGGCTACGTGTCCGAAATTTTCGTTCGTAAGCACCCTGATTGGGCCCGAAAGCTAGAACTGAAGAATGTTTTCTCGTCGGCGACGTCGGGCCGCCTCTCGAGTACATTCGTGGTACTTGTTTCAACAACCCTCCCCCTTGGCTCACCCCTCACAAAATGTATATAGTCCGCTCCATGCAACCTATGTCACCAGAGTTCGGCTCGGTGAACCCACAAAACAAGATGTTTGGCACACCGAGAGACTGAGCCAAACCCTCCACAGCAAAGACCGCTCCTGTAGAAACATGCGAAGCGTTTTACACAAGATGCCTCGCTGTGAAACTCTCTGTTGTTTGTTGCCACCATATCGACATGTTTTTGTTCTGGATAAAATGGCGAAATCGTTTCCGGCCGTATGTATGACGAGCACAACGCCGCCCCATGATTGATGTTGATCACAGCAACTGTATTTTAAAGGCGAAAAAACAAGGTTGCTTTTTGTTACTGTATCTCAAGAATTATGGCGTTTTTTGGGGGTTCTTCCCTAGGCCACCACACCATGAGATCTGGTGGACGTCATGGCTTCCCAACGGTAGTTGTACGTGGACTAGTCGTGTGTGATGGAAACGACGTGCGGTGATTTCTCGCCATTGCGACCTCTTCTCCGGAGGGATACTTGGTGTTTGTGTCTGGCATTTGGCCGTTGGCCACGCACTCCTCCCGCGACTTGATAACCCTTGCCACTCCTGACGAAACAACCAACAATGAATGCTTTATTTCTGTCTCATTTTCGTTGGACTGACGTGTTTGCATCAACCCCATTCATTTTGTGCCCTACTCCAGTAGTTCGCCGCCAGATTTTCGTCATCTAGCACACGTAGATTTTCCCGTGTCTTTCTCGGCGGGGCCCATTCTTCTCTCTTATCGTTAGTGTCCCCGAACTGGATGGGTTTTACCTCTTGTTAGCCTTGCCAGATATTCATGATTTCGCACCATTTTCCTTCGCGCAATCGGTTGGTTACCTCTCCTCCTTTCTGGCAAGCACAGGCCAAACTCGAAGTGTCTGGTTCACCTTATTCAGCAGAACCCGCCGGGTCGTTAAATGTTCGTGTTTGATTGTTTTCTTGTCGTTTTCCGTGTCTCCCCAAGAGCCGCCCACGCTGTCTATCATCGCTAGCGTTTCCTCCCTTGTTATACACGTCTCCTTGAACTCTCCTCGTACATCCCCAAAGGTTTTTGTAGCCAGCCAAGGGTTGAAGTGAACAAAAGTCAAGGCACATTGGCCTGCTTCATCGAAAATCGGGGTCTGTGGGCGGAGGTGATTTTGTTTTTTTGGGGGGGTATTGTACTCATAGTCGTGCATGCCGTAGTCGTTAGACCATTGACCTCGCATCCTTACAAAGCCGGGACGGAGCACGCCGGGTTCTCACCGGACCAGACTCTCACATCACCAAGCGCTAAGCGCCGTGAGGTATTCGGCGAGTCGCGTGAAGGGTGCGATGCATCCTGTTAAGGGTGTTCGGCATCTTGTGCTTACTTCCGTACGTACGGATGACAGCTGCGTACTTGAAAAAAGACTTGATTTATTTTCTGGTGCTTTCACTTTCAGAGACAGTTAAAGGCATTTTGTAACTGCCTCGAGGGTGTCTGACCAATTTAACACAACGTGGTGCGATCATCCCCCTTGCGCTTAGCGAGGGTTCTCGACCCCGCACAACATAATCTAATCGACCACCATGTTGGTTACCTGCAAAAAAGCAAAGCAGAGGCAAAAAACGAAGCGTTAACCTGGTTGCCGAGCTCACGAAGTGATCGGCTTGTTTNGGGGGGGGGGGGGGGGGGGGGGGGGGGGGGGGGGGGGGGCGTACTCTTATGTTTTGCATGCCATTGCGGTTAGACCATCGACCACGCGTCCTTGAGAGGACGGAGCATTGTTCCCACAGGACCGAATACGCATGGTCAGCTGTTCCCTCCTACCTTGCCAAAGGTGGCTCAACAATGTCTACCGATGTCACTTCCCGCCTTTTGAACCCACTTCCTATGCCCCAGTACAGCTAACGTCTTCTCCTGGCTATCCCATGCCTCAAATATCTCCCTGTACTTTTCTGCTACTTTTCCCAGCTCAGTCGTGTACACTTCCCTCTCCTTGTACCACAGACATTCCGCCACTCCATGAACACGGTCTTCGCACTCGAAGCCGCAATCACATTTGAACTTGGCGTCCTCATTGTCTACCAACCGAAGTCTTGGCTACGTTCTCGAAGGCCAATGTCCCCGGTCCTGAATCTGATCTTAACTTTGGCCCAGCATCCATTGGTCCATGTATGTACTCCTTGAACCTGTTCCTTCCTTCAACATTCCGTACACTTCAATGCCCTCCTTAATCCTTCGTTTTTTTTTTCTTGGATTCTGTTCTCTCTCGGCAAAACCAGCAGACATCTTCTCCTTGAGGCCGTTTAGACGCTCCGTATCCAGCGTATCGCCTTCGTCAATTTCTAACCCTTTCCATACGTCACCTGCAACCTTAACCCACTCCATGGGTTGTCTACTCCTCCTCTTTGTTTTCCCACTTCGCCTCTTAGGCTATTCTCGGCAACCTCCCCTCTCCCGTGCCGCACATGCGATACTGCCATGTCAGCTTCCTTGCGTCACTTCCCGATCGTTGGGATTGGATCCCCAGTTCTGCCCTGACGGCTGCATTACTTGTGCGCTTGGAGCATCCTAGGATGACTTTCGCTGCTTTCATCTGCGCCGCCTCGAGCTCTTTGACTCTCTTCTTGTTCCTTCCCATACTTCTCCGGCGTACTCTAGCGGCGGTACGATTACGCTCTTCATAACCGTCAATTTGATGCGTGTATCGAGGTGCCGGTTTGCGAGTACTGGGTGCAGCTTCCCTGCTCGTGCTTTGCCCCTTTCCGCTACATTGGACATGTGTGTGCATTCCACGAGCAGTCTTTTGCGATCTCTACTCCGAGGTATGTGTACTGGTCCACTACTGCAATCTCCTCGACCTCCACTTCCATCTATGTTTAAACGTTGGCAGATAGTCTCCACTTTTCAGCAAACGCTTTCGCCGCGTCAATTTGCGTTTGCAGTCCCTCAGGGGTGTCAGACAACCCAACAAAATCACCCGCAAACATCATTCCCGACACCGTGCTTTCCTTTACCACTACTCCCTTCTCCACTGCTTCTACGACTTCCAACAGATCGTTGATGAACACCTGGAACAATGTTGGGCACAAAGTGCAACCTTGTGGGACCACCTTTTCAATGTCGAAGAATTTAGACAGTTCTCCGTCTAGCATGACCGCACTTTTCGTTCACTATGTCATTTTCTTCAGAACTCTCCACATTTTCACCTTGATTCCGTATTTAGACAGTTGCTTCCACAGCCCATTCCTCCAATCTATATCGTATGCCTTTTTCACGTCCAGGAAGAAGCAGTAGGTCGGCTTCCCCTCGCTCTTTCTACCTTGGATGATTCTCCCTACCGTAAACGCGTGGTCTACGCACCCTCTCTTCTTTCGGAAACCTGCGTGGCCCTCACCTTTCATACGTTCCTCATCCAATACTCGCACTATCCTATCGTTCAGCAGCTTACAGAACACTCTTCCTACTGTGTTCAATAGTGTAATCCCCCTGTATTTTCCTCGGTCAGTCTTGTCTCAACAGGTTCACAACCACCCCTTTCCTCCACCGACTTGGCGCATACTCGTTAGGGGGGGGGGGGG